GAAGATACTGTCATTTAACATGAAAAATTATATTTTGCATTTAATTTTTTTTTTTTGGTACCAAGGATCAAACTCAAGACCTTGTGCTTGGGAGACAGGCGTGGTGCCACTGGAGCTAAATCCCCTGCTTGCATTTAATTTTTTATTCCAGTAGAGCAGAGCTTTTTTTCTTACTATAGTAAAATTGAAAGACATGCACTCAGAAAACATCTGTTATCTTTTAGCTTCATATGAGATTACTATATGAAGTTATTAACTGGAAAAATAGTATAATTTATCTGATAAAGCATTTAATCTATAGACTAATTCTAGGAGGAAATATATTTAGACTCTATAAAGTAGATCAAATGTAGTTTTCTGTAGGTTTTTAGAATATATAGATTTTGAAATCTAATTACTTTTAAGGAAAAGTGAGAAAAGCCAAATTTCTTTTTCTAACCTTTGAAGCAAACTTTAAACTGATAAAGTTATATGTATTTATGGTATATGTGATGTTTTGATAGATGCACTGATTGTGGAATGGTGAAACAAACTCCTCCAGTCACACTCCTCAGCCTGTTTCTGGGAGTTAATACATTCTTGTTGTTTTCATTGCTAGTACTTCGTGACCATGATCATTTCTCTTGCTGCGGTTGCTTGGGTGGGACAGCAAGTCCATAACCTGCTTCTCACCTGTCTGATAGGTAAGTCTGTGGAAGAGCTACAGTCACATCCTAGACAGTGAAATCTAAATACAGCATAGGCAAATATGTGAGTATCTGCCAAAATGCATGTACTGACCAAAGAATTTCGGGAGTATAGGAAGGTGACCAAGACTCCGGGTCATTGTTTTCAGGGAGTTTATAATCATATAACAAGTAAAGATAAAATCCCGTAATAGCCAGAATAGTACAGTGAAACCTTAGTTTGTGAGCATAATTTGTTCTGGAAACATGCTTGTAATCCAAAGCACTTGTATTTCAAGAAAATAATAAAAATAAACAAATTAACATCACTTAATCACAACTAAGCAAATGGTTCCCCCCAAGTCCCTGTGAATCTGGGCGATCATGTCCTGGCAGGAAGATGTTATGGAAGAGAAGGAGGAAGAAAAAGCAGAGGATTCCCTCACTTCAAGAGCAATCAGGGCAATGTGTAAAATGTGGGAAACAGTGCAGAATTTTGTGGGAAAACACCACCTGAATAAGGCCGTAGCAGTGCAAATGATGAATCTGTTCAGTGACGGTGCAATGTCACATTTCTACAAAATCCTGAAAAGGAGGCAAAAAAAGCAAGTGACATTGGATAGATTCCTTGTTAAAGTTTCATGAAAAGAAAAAGATTCCATGGAGCAAAGGGCAGTGATTCCATTAGTTATATGAAAGTCATCCTACACAGTAAAATAACCCTGCTCTATCTCGTCTCCCTCACACCAGCCACAGAGGTTTTCAAAGGTAACTGCAGCTTAATTTGTTTATTTTTTCTTGATTATTTTGTATTATTTTAACAGTATTGTAATCATTTTCATGTGATTACTTTTGGGTTGTGGAGTGAATCATCTTGAGTTTCCATTATTTCTCATTGGGAAATTTGCTTGAAAATACAAGTGCTTTGGATCACTAGCATGTTTCCAGACTAAATCGGGATGGATAATTAGAAACTTAAATACAGTGTACTCTGGACTTATGAACGTATTTCATTCTTGAGGGCTGGTTGTAGCTCATGTTGGTGAATTGAAGGCTCAGGCTCCTCTGTGCAGCCTTCAAAGTCTCTCTCCTGTGTACAGGCAGATCTCAGTGTCCTGGGAGAGACATTGGCCCAGGATTTCTCAGTTAGCCCCACCCAGGAAAGGATGTTGTAATGCACCTTCCAGAATTCTTTAAGTGTTAAATCTGTTATCTGAGACCATCTAGAAGCACAAATGGCCAGCATTCAAGTTGTAACTCAAGACTCTGGTCATAAATTAAAACTAAAACTCTGGTCATGACCCAAGTTGTTCGTATGTCAGGCCACTCAACTTGAGGGTCCACTGTAATAGATTTATATTATCCTCCCATTAGAGTTCTAATAGTCTAGGAATCTACCTTCTTTAAAATGTGATAATCTTGCCTGTAATCCCAGCACTCGGGAGGCTAAGGCAGGAGGATCGCTGTGAGTTTGATACCAGTCTGGGCTACACAGTGAGTTTCAGGTCAGTCTCAACTACATAGTGAGACCCTGTCTCAAAAAAACAAACAAACAAAAAAATGTGATAATCTTGGGCTGGGGGTTTAGCTCAGTGGCGTCACCACCTGCCTCACAAACACAAGGTCCTGAATCCGACCCCCAGTACCACACACCAAAAAAATGATAATCTTGGGCCGGGGATTTAGCTCAGTGGTTCCATCACTTGCCTCGCAATCTCAAGGACCTGAGTTTGATCCCCGGTACCAAAAAAAAAAAAAAAAAAATGATAATCTTTAGGAAGTTAATTGTTTTCTCCTGAGAGACTAAAACAGAGGGATTGTAAATTTGAGCCCTGCCTGGGCAGCTTAGCAGTTTAGCAAAACCCTGTCTCAAAAAAGGCTAGGATGGGCTGGACATGTAGCTCAGGGGCTTTCTCCTTAATTTTGTTTATTTATTTTAAGTGACTTTCTTACTGTTGCTTCCTGGACTGAACCAACATGGAATCATTTCGAAGTACATTGGAATGGCCAAAAGAGAAATAAACAAGCTTCTGAAACAAAAAGAAAAGAAAAATGAATAATACATCTGCTTTATTCGGTGGTTAATGGAATAGGCATTGCCCTGGGAATAGTTTCTACTGTGCTGTGTGGATACTGAAATGCTACAGAAGTAGCTCTTTGCTTTCCCTCACTCTGCCCTTAGTAGAAATTCTCACTTGCCAGTAAGGCTTTGTGCATAGTATCTTTGTGTTAATTGTAGCTGGGTACATTCTCATCAGTTGGCCTTAATTGGGCAACTCACTAGTGAGTAAGGCTTGTTTTGATTTTTCTCACCCGGGGTTAACTGAATTCTTACTTTTGACAACTTCTTTTAAAATAATACAGTGGTGAACTTTACTCTTTAGTACGGTTAACAGTGACTTTGGATAATAGTTTGGCTTGACGTTTGCTTTAGCTAGATAGAAGGTAGTATTCTGTGGCTCCAGGAAGCTGGTTGTACTGTCTGCTTCCACAGTCTGCTTAAAAAACCGTGTGGCCCTGTGAATACAAAGACCAAGTTTACCACACCTGATGAAGAGACCAGTTAGGAGTCATTCCTTGCACTGTTTCTTTACCATTGGAGAAGAATCTCTATGGAATAAAGTGAAATTGATTCTGTGCCCTAGTATGTGTGGGTTTCTCCCTTGTGCAGAACAGTAATCTCTAGGCAGTATTGATCCTTTGTCTTACATGGGGAATCAGACAGGTGTAGAGCTCTTCTTCCCCTGCCCTACTTGGTCAGTGAATCCTTAAAGGCTTTTTAATAGCAGACTTCCAAAAGATTGTATTGTAGGATATTTAGCATACTTTTCAGGTTTTTACAGCGTATACAGTAGGTTGAGATGTAAGTCTGTGACCTTTATTCCAATACCAGCCAGTAAAGGACAAAAGTCTTCCTATGTTTAGTCAAGATTCGTTGCAGTAGCCAATAAAATAACTAATTTCTAAGATCAGAAAAAGCCTTCAAGGGTAAGCCCTACAATTCTTTCTCATTTTATAGCAAAACTGGCTGTATTTTGGTTTACATAGGTTTTGCATTGGACATAGCTACTACACTGGCGTTTGACTTTTTTCCTCAGTATTTCTCAAGGGCTGTTGGTGAGAGCAGGCTTGTGATGACAGCTAAGCCTCTGGCCCACATAGATGCTGTAAATCCTTGGAAAACTTCTTATAATCATCCTTTCCCTCTTAGTAGCTAGAAACTTAGAATAGATGGCATCTGTAAGAATGAACCTTTGAGGGCCAAAAAATGTGACTTATTTGGGAACAATTCTTAAACTGCTTAACTAGCTATAATATAGTTCTGTGAATTCATTGCACTGATGCTGTAAAACCTTGTGGTATATCTGTCCCTAAATGAGTTTTGTTTTCTTCCCTTTGATATTGTTGTAAATGGTGGTGCGCATTGTAGTTTATGTTTAATTTTTAAAAAATATTTTCATATGGCTACCTTAATTTTACGTGTGTTTCCTCAGTGTAAATAAGCCTGTCTTATCTGGATTTTTTTTTTGTGAATGTGTGTTCTACCAGTTAACTACCTTGGCAGTTTTAGTCCTGTATCATTTCTCCTTTGTTTTGTGTGAAAGGGGAAAAATAAAAGCTGGAATCTCTTCAGTGTCTCACTTTCTTTTTTCTTTTTTTTTTTTTTCCACTTTCTTTTTAACTTAGCCAATCTAAGGTTTGCATGATTGAATTTATGAAGCCAGTTAGTCAACTGCCCTGTGTGAACATTACAGATCTCTAAGGTACTCTTGAAGAGCAAAGTGAAATCCAAAGGTTAAAGGTATTCATTCAGCAAACACTGAGGCTCGGCACTAGGTCCAAGAGGAAATGCAGGAAGGGGTACACATGATGTGGGATGGAAGAAGAGAGAGGGCGCCCCCCCGGCGTCCACCTGGGTGTCTCTGTCCCCCGGGAGAGCTCTGGGGGTTGGTACTGGAGGAGTGCACAGGAAATAACGGCTGGCGACCTGTCTTTTTGAAGCACTTTAAGAGCTCCAACTGTTTTAAGTCACTGGTTGTACTTCATGGTGGGTCCTGGGAAGAGATCTGGTAGCAAATTACCAAAATCTGAGTCCTCTACCCCAAAGAGTATGGGTCCTTCTTTGGAGCCTCCTGGGGGTCTGGTGATGTCCAGCAAAAGACTCTCTCGGTTACCAGCACGATCGCCCGATGTTTCCGAAGTGCTGCTCTGTCACTGCAGCTGCGGTCACTGCTTGCGTCAGCCTCACCGGGCTGGCTCCCTTCCCAGGCCGGCTTGGCTCCTTCACAGCCAGGCTCCAGGAGGGGCTGCCCTGGTGTCAGCTGTGGCCGCAGCAAGTCCGTTTTCAAGGTGAGCCCTGACTACCTTTAGCAGGGCAGAAGGTCCATCACCCCACGGTTCATGTAGGAGGAGAGACCTTTTGGAATGAGTTGTGCCAAGGGAAATCAGATTGGGGTGGGGATTTTTTATTCTCTGCTCTTGACTGGACTGATGAGATTCCCTCCACCCTGCAGGATGTGGAACTTTTTAAGAGATAATTGAATGCTAAAAGTTAATATGTTACCATTTTCTTTTTTTTTTATCAGGGACTTTTTTTTTTACCAGGGATTGAACTCGGGACCTTGCACTTGGAAGGCAGGCGGTGGCACCACTAAGAGGCTAAATCCCCGGCCCACCGTTTATTTTTACTCAATTCACAATCAGTCCTGTTTGAAGACAGCTGTTCTAGTATGCCTACAACAAAACCCACTGACTGCTGGGGTACTTTTTGCAGAGGTCTCTGCTCCATCTCTCCACCCTGTTTTCAGAGTGGAGCTGCCACAAACCTAGACTTATCTACTGTCCCATTCACCCACTTGCGGATTAGGCAGCTTTAGATCCAAATCCCCACAAAGTAATGTAGTATCTTAAGTAACTTTTTTTTTTTTTATTTGCTTTGAACTTTTTAAATAAAAATTTGAAGTTTGGTCAATTTAAGATAGAATGTGGTTTTCTTATTTGTGACATGGGGATCATAGCAGAGATCTCAGCCTGCATTTGTTGCGAGGGCTGCTGAGTTAGAAGAAGCTCGAATCCAGTAGCACTTTCTGGGAAAGCTTTAGCAGCTTCCCAGGTGACCTCTGCATCCCCACAGCCCTTCGTGCTGCTGGTTTGTCATCTCTGCTGCAATCTGAACCTCTTTAGGGCAGGAACCAATAGTTCTGTCTCCTTAGTACCTGGCACCATACCTGGCAGACATGGTATTTATTAGATGAATTAATCCAGGGTATAAAGAGTTAACATTTATTATTTTTCTATTTATGGTAAGGCTCTTGAAGGAAAGTGCTTTTGTTCTGCCAACTCCCTACCTCCTGCTAAGGCCCCCAGTAAAATGAACTGCATGTTTCTAGTAACAGAATGGGTTGTTACTGGATAGGGAGCCAGTATGTCAAGAAAAATTTTCCTTTAAAAAGCCAGCGGTTGGCCAGGCGTGGTAGCACACGTCTATAATCCCAGCGCTTGGGAGGCTTAGGCAGGACTGCTGGGAGTTCGAGGCCAGCCTGGGCTACCTGTGTAGTGTGGGTGGCTGAATGCGTTGAGAGCCAAGGAGCAAGCCTCCTGGTGAAGTTGGGGAGAGGGTGCTCAAGTGAGAGGGAAAAGTGAGCGCTGAGTCTGAGGTGGAGCATCCTTCGAGTATCTGAAGGGAAGCAAGCCAGGGGTAGCAGACGCAGTGGCAATGGCACACATCTGTAATTCCAGTTACTTGGGAGGCTGAGGCAGGAGGACCACAAATTCTACGGCACCCTGGGCAATTTAATAAAATTCAAAAAGAGGGCCGAGTATGTAGCGCAGTACAGTGGTAGGGCAGTTGCCTAACATGCTGGAGGTTCAGGGTTCAATGTCTAGTACCATACGGACACACACACACACACACACACACACACACACATTCACACAAGATAGCAAGCCAGGGTAGGTTGGTGAGGATGAGGCCTGATGTGCTTGTGCCAGGAGGGAGGTGTGCACATCAGCTTGCCTAAGAAAAGATTTTACTGGGGAAGCCCTTGGAGAGTGCATCATCCGACTTCAGTTTTAAAAAGTCCTACTGGGGCCGGGGATTTAAGTCCTACTGGTTGCTTTGCGGGGAAAAGACAAGAATAGGGTAAAGTGGGGTGGAGGGTGCAAACAGTGTGGTAAGGAGGCTATTGCAGATATTTCAGAGATGAGGTAATTTGCCTCAGCTGGTCACACAGTTCCATAGAGGGCAGAGGCAGAAGTCACTGCCTCCGTAGGTGATCAGATCCTGGGCCCCAGGCTGTACCCAACTCTGTACTTTTTCCCTGGCCAAAAAAAAAAAAAAAAAAAAAAAGGTGCCCACCTACTATGTATGCAGCGAACCTTGTACAAGCCCTTTGCACTATTACCACATCTGACTGTGGCAAGAACCTTTAAGAGGCAAGGATTAGTACCCCCAGTCTACACCTGGGTAAAGTTCGGAGATGAGAAATGACTAAGGTACATTAGTTCTTATCTGGGTGCACAAAAGTGTACAAAAGCCACAGGCTCAGAATCCTGTTTATTTTGAAACGTTTGTGGTTTTCTTCCAAAAGGTGTGTTCTGGAAGTGGGAAAAAACCATTTGGATCCTCAATCAATACTTTAAAGACTTGTCGAGATTTGAAGAGATATTACCAATTTAAAATCATTTTTAGGGCCAGGGATTTAGCTCAGTGGTTCCGCTGCCTGCCTCACAAGTGCAAGGTCCTGAGTTTGATCCTCAGTACCAAACACAAAAAAACAAAAACATTATTAACCACTTTGGAAAATACAGTCCACCAAAAGATGTATACACACTTCGGGAAAAGAAAAACTTGTATAAATATTGTAATGCTAAATTTATTGAGACCCCATGAGATTAACACAAGTTCCCTACGGCCTCTACAAGAGGTGCTCAAAGTGATGCTCATTAGCGTCCAGACATTTATTAATATGGCAAACTGGGATTGAGGTTGCTGCATATGCATTTTCGGTTTCTTCTATAAGGGCCGGCAGTATGGTTAGTTTTCTGCGATGTATGACATCCTCTGGGGTTCCCCATGCGAGGGTAACACCATCTGTTGAAAAAGCAACTGTTTTTCTTTTCCTTAAGTGGTATATACATTTTATTTATTTATTTATTTTTGCGGACTCTGTATATACACCTCGGAAACGCCAAAAATGTCTGTGAGACCGTGAGCATTGCAAACCCGAATCCCAGCTACTCCAGGGGCTCGCAAGCTGGAGCCCAGCCTGGGCTATTATGTCTCAAAATAAAATAATAAAATGAGGTAGGGATGCAGTTCAGCGCAGCGCTCGGTAGGCTCACGCCCCACTACTGGGCACTGAAAATGAAAGGACGTTTCCGTCTCAGCTCCAAACGCCGCCTAGAGGCATAGACCGATTATTGCGGGTCCTTTCAGAGACACTATAAACACACAAGTATCACAATCCATTCTAAATGGTGAATGAGTTTTTACTGCAATAAAAATAAGCAGACTTCAAGACCTTCTTGTCGAATGTGTTGTTGTTCTCTTAGTACCTGGGAGCGAACTCGGAACCTTGCACCTGCAAGGAAGACGCAAGAACCACTGAGCTAAATCCCCGGCCTCGATTTTGTATTTTTACAGATTGTCAAAAGGTAAGTCTCTCTAGGATTTGGGTTGATTCCTTCGGCTCTCAACTACCAATTCCTGAGCAGGCTCCGCCCCTACGTCCGCGAACTTCCACTAGCCAGTCATTTTGTTTGTATGGTTTTTTTCTCCC